AAGCGGGACTAAGGTTAAAGAAAAATAAATGTATGATCGCTGTCCCCTCCGTTGAATTTTTGGGGTACAGGGTGGACGGCACAGGCATCCACCCTACCGAAAGCAAGGTGAGAGCAATTAAGAGCGCACCTGCCCCCAAGACCAAAGCTGAGCTCCAAGCCTTCCTTGGACTGCTCAATTTTTACTCAATGTTCCTGAAAGACAAAGCTACCGTCGCAGATCCCCTACACAAACTTTTGGGGAAGAATGTACCATGGGTCTGGGGGAAACCACAAGCAGCCGCTTTTGAGGCAGTTAAGAGACTTCTATCAGAAGACAGTTTCCTAATCCAATACAACGCAGCGCTACCGCTTGTATTGGTTTGTGACGCCTCCCCCGTAGGAGTTGGTGCCGTCCTGGGCCATAGACTTCCGAACGGCCTAGAGGCGCCCATTGCGTTTTACTCTCGCACCCTGTCAAGCGCAGAGCGAAACTATAGCCAATTGGACAGAGAGGCTCTGGCTGCAATTGCGGGGGTTAAAAAGTTCCACGAATATCTCTTTGGCCGGCAATTCGAACTTGTGACTGATCACCGGCCCTTGCTAGGACTTTTGGCAGGCGACAGGCCCACCCCCGCTGCTCTGTCCCCACGCTTGACTAGATGGGCTATTTTTCTTTCGGCCTATTCATACCAGCTTGTACATCGACCTGGACGGACCCTGGGTCACGCGGATGCCCTCAGCCGCTGTCCCCTACCTGACTTACTGACCAATCCAACACCTGAGGCCTCCGTCCTTCTACTGAACACATTAACTTTGGGACCTATTTCCTCTGCCGAAGTGGCTAAAGCCTCAGCCAGGGACCCGATCATTCGTACTGTGATGGGGTGGGTGCTAAAAGGGTGGCCGGTCAAGGTGGACGGGGGGGACTATCAAGGTTTTGTAAACAAACGAAACGAACTGTTTACGCAAGGGGGTTGTTTGTTGTGGGGTGATCGGGTGGTAGTGCCAACAAAACTACGAACGAGGGTCTTAGAATTGTTGCACGAAGGGCATCCGGGCATTGTCAGAATGAAAAGTTTAGCCCGCAGTTACGTTTGGTGGCCCAACATGGACCAAGTTATCTCTGAGTGGGTGGGGAAGTGCAGACCCTGCCAGGAGTCTCGCCCCGATCCCCCGGTAGCGCCCATCCGAGAGTGGGAGAAACCAAAAGGGCCATGGGGGAGGATCCATATTGATTTTGCTGGCCCCTTCCACGGGCAAACGTTTTTAATTGTAGTAGATGCCTTTTCGAAATGGCTCGAAATCATTCTAATGCCCTCTACCACAGCCGAGGCTGTTATTAAGGCCCTTCGCAAGCTGTTCGCCACACATGGCCTACCGGATACCCTAGTATCTGACAACGGCCCTCAGTTCACAGCAACCCTGTTCGAGGGATACTTGGCCGGACTGGGCATCCGCCATGCCCTATCGGCCCCGTTCCACCCGGCTTCTAACGGATTGGCCGAACGTTTTGTAAGAACGGCCAAAGAGGCCCTATCCAGACTAGATAACGGGGACTGGCAGGCCAGGATAGATCAATTCTTAGCTGTCCAGCATGCCACACCATGCACAGCCACAGGGAGAAGCCCAGCAGAGCTCCTCATGGGCAGGAAGCTCCGATGCGTGTTAGATAGGCTTCACCCCAACTATTCGCACGAAAATTTCAAGGGAGAGACCTCCGGACTAAGACAGTTTCAGGTTGGGTCCCCGGTGTTCGCTCGCAACTATGCCAGCGGACCTCTATGGGTTGCAGGAACCATAGTGGGCATAACGGGCCCGAAATCTTATACGGTAGACGTTGGGGTAGACAGACTCTGGAAGCGCCACATAGACCAGCTGAGAAAAAGGGTAGTCGGCGAAGCAAACATAAATTTAGACATATCCGAGCCTAACTATAACAACTTTCCCAAAACAGCTAATTCAAGCCCGGGTTCGCGAGAATACTTAGCTGACAAGCCCTGGTTCCAGCGCCGCCCCAGCGAGTCGCCACTCCCAACCGGGGATAACCACGCCCCGGACAAAATCCAGGAGGTTCCATTAGCGGAGCCGGGAGAGACAGAAAGTCCCTCCGACCAGCTCGACGCCCCACCAAACACTGAACTGCGCAGGTCAACTAGGACGAGAACTCGCCCTGGGCACCTGCGAGATTTTGTGTGTACTTATGTAAATTTTTGAATGACAGTGCCTTCTGGGAAGGGAGGGGTGTTATGTATTGATACTTTTGAGCGGGAGTTTCAAACCTGCCTACGTTTCTGATTGGCTGACAGTCCCTCCAGGATTGTATATAAGGAGGGCTGCAGCCTCTGAGTTTTTGCTGAAGTCTCACTGTAAATTAAAGAGCTGTTGTCACTTGCTTGGTTGTGCCTCTCGTTATTCCCGAACCACTTCAGCGGGGGATGCAGAAGAGGCCGGGCCAGAGACAGAGATAAACAGAGAGAGAGAGAGACATAGAGAAATACAGAGAGACGGGGGGGGGGGAAGACACATACAGAGATACAGAGAGAGAGGGTGGGAGAGAGAGAGACAGAGAGATACAGAGAGAGGGGGAGAGAGAGACACATAGAGAGATACAGGGGGGAGAAGAGAGGGGGAGACAGAGAGGGAGGATTTTGTGGTTCCCATTGTTTTTTAGCAACCGGTTCTCTGCCCTAATCACCAGCTGAGTAGGTGTGGCTCGGGGGCTGTCATGTGACTGATGAAAGTGAGTGACATCAAGTTGGCCACGCCCACCAAATGTTCGTGGAGAGTTTGGAACTTCAGCCTCGCTCTTTTAGCCTAGCGGAAGCACCAGACTGGGTCACAGCAAGTTAATAATAAGATAGCAATGTATGAAGGAGAAATGGGAAATATAAATAAAAGTTTCATAAAAAATGGGCTTAACTCAAGTCTAAGTTTCTCTCAGAGTTAGCTTTTTTGCGTGATTTATAAGATCTAAACGGAATCTTAAAAGCATAATATTGCTTGCTAAAATCCTAAAATGATTTTAAAGGTTTTAAAACTGGGAAACAATAAAAGATAAATCCAGGACAACACAGCAGCACAGATTCAGTTAAAATCCTGGTGTCGAACATTCGGCATCAAGCCCATTTTTGTTGAAATAATGAATTAAGGCTGCGGCCTCTTTTTGCCAGAGAGGCTCCTTGTCTTTAAAAGAGGTTTGGCAAGACAAAGTTGTTTTCTCCATGCTGGGAAGCATACATGAGTTTCCCTGAAAATTGCTTCAGAAACAGGACAGAAAAAAAAACTTGGTGGTTTTTCTTTTTTTCAAACCCACCAAATGTAAATGTCAGCAAAGTGATGGATTTCTCCATTTCTCGTTCACGTAACTCACATATGCAACTTACCTACTAAAACATGATTTCAATGTTTTCTTGTTCATAAACCTGAAAATGAACTTGTGTTTAAAAAAAAAAAAAAGCCTTTACTTTTGCACTAATGGAGGGAATGCTACTGTTAAACCTCAAAGACTTTTCAATTTAGTTATAAAATAACATCTTTAATAGCCAGACTTCACAGGGATGAACTTCAGGGATGAACTGAGACAAGGCTGAGATCTACTAGATAAGCATGGTTTAGCTTGTACGGCTTCTATATAATCAAGCAGGAAGGCAATCTTTGTGTGTTACCCCCAAATCCTACGCATTTCACTTTTTTTTTAGATATATGGCATTTTTAAGCTGACCATAGGGAGTGCTTGTATTAAAAAAAACACAGTCCTCTAAGACAGGGGTCTCCAACCTTGGCAACTTTAAGACTTGTGGACTTCAACTCCCAGAGTTCCTCAGCCAGCAAAGCTCTTAAAGTTGCCAAGGTTGGAGACCCCAGCACTAAGACAGTGTTTTTTTAAACTTCGCAACTTTACGATATATAGACTTCAATTTCCAGAATTTCCCAGACAGTCCTGATGCTCAAGGGGAGATGATGAATTTGTCAATACCTATTGAAAAGAAGGTGGGAATACCTATTGAAAAGAAGGTGGGAAGTATATTTCCTAACTTTAGTTTTCTTTCATTTTTCCTCTTTCTTTCTGATCTTTTTCTTTAGATTTGTCTTTTACTTTATGTAATATCCTTAATAAACAGGCCATCGGCCGTTTGGGACCGGGCCGCAGAAGCAGTGGGTGAGCGCATGCATGCATGCAACTCCACTTGCACAAGCAGTGGGCAAGCATGCATGCCTGCCACTCATGCATAACCATTTCCTCTCCCTTTCCCCACTTCCACCAGTCCCCAAAGCCAGAAAGTAACTTAAGGTACTTTAAAATGTGAGGGAGAGGGAAAAGGAGTGGGAGAGAGAATTTAAGATACCCATTTGTAAAAGCTCAGCCTGGATGAGGCAAGTAGTTCCACTGATTAATTGTTCCAACTCAAGAAATTCTTTCTTAGTTTAAGGTTGCTTCTCTCCTTGATTAGTTTCCATCCATTGCTTCTTGTCCTGCGCTCAGGTGCTTTGGAGAATAGGTGGACCCCCTTTTCCTTGTGGCAGCCCCTCATATATTGGAACACTACTACCATACCTAGTCTTCTTTTCATTAAACTAGATATACCTAATTCCTGCAACCTTTCTTTATACGTTTTAGCCTCCAGTCCCTTAATCATCTTTGTTCCTCTTCTCTGTACTCTTTCTTGAATCTCAGCATCTTTTTTACATTGTGGTGACCAAAATTGGATGCAGTATTCCAGGTGTGGCATTACTAAGGCATTATAGCATGATATTAACACTTCACGTGATCTTGATTCTATCCCTCTTGTGTCATCAGGAGTCCTGGGGGAGTGGAGAAAACCAGCACTGAAAAAGATGCTACGTTGCTAGATAACTACAGCTATATATCCCAACACGGTCCTTAATTCAAGCTGCTACCGCACTTCAGTTGGCATACTGAAGCTTTTGTCCCCATTAAGACTTGTCAGTCTTCATTCCTTTGGAATGTCATCATTCACCATTAGGCTATTCCAGAGTCTGTCTGACTTATTTACTTACTTACTTGTGCATTGTGGCATTTTCACCTTGCTTATCAAATCATTATTGTTTTCCAAAGTGCCTCTCATTCCTAAAAGAAAAAAAGAAGAAAATAAAAGAAACAAACCCTTTCACAATCTAAAAAGACAAGCCTCACAAAGAGTGAGGAGTACAGTTAAAAAAAAGAAAGAAAGAAAGAAAGAAAAGGTGCGCAAAAATTGCTGAGCAGGAAGTCCTATCATTAATATGCATTTCAAGCTCATCGGATCTTCTCTTCCTGAAGTTCTTGTTTGAGCAGACATTTAGCCAAAGAACGAGGCCAGGGTATTCTGCCTTCCCTCGCTAGACCCAAATAAAAAGTAACATGAAAATGAATCCTCTTAAAAATCTTCCACCTCCTTCCTTAATATCCCTCTTCTGAAATTCTCACCTCCCTTATACTCAGGACACTCCCTTTTGTTAATCCCAAATAACATAAGGTAAAGGTAAAGGTTCCCCCGCACATGCGTGCTAGTCGTTTCTGGCTCTAGGGGGCAGTACTCACCTCCATTTCTAAGACCAAGAGCCAGCCCTATCCGAAGACATCTCTGTGGTCATGTGGCCAACATGACTAAATGCCAAAGGTGCACGGAGCGCTGTTACCTTCCCACCAAATTGGTCCCTATTTTTCTACTTGCATTTTTTATGTGCTTTCGAACTGCTAAGTTGGCAGAAGCTGGGACAAGTAACAGGAACTCACCCCGTTACATGGCGGTAGGGATAACCAGTCTACTTGCCTATAAATCATAGGTATGATTCTCCTGCAGGATCTTTTCTATTTCTAGCCTGAATATAATGGAAATTTAAAGCAGCAATTTAAAAATGAAGAAGGGTAAAGCATTTCTCCTGTTTCTCTTTTTTTTAAAAAAAATACGATATATTTATTGAAAATGTCATATAATAACAAAACAAAAGGAAAAATAACAGAAAAATGTGAGAAAAGAAAAAGGGAAAGAAAACCAAAGTTAAGAAACATGACTTCCGACCTTCTTTTCAGATAATTACATTTTTATTGTCTCTCTTCCCTCTTTACTCTCTTCGTACCTTCACTTGGGCATCATCTTTCTCAGTTTTCCAATCCAGGAATCATTGTTTTTTTTTCTTCTTCTTTCAGCAAAAAGTCCATATGAGGCTTCCAGGCTTTCAAAAAAAAAGTTGTTGTTTGTTCTTTGACCAAACTATTGTTTTTCATTATAGAAGAACAACTGGGCTGGAAGGCTTACAAAGCCATATTATTCTAGTAGGGGGTTAGCCACTAGTCCCACTATTTCATTGGTATGAGGCTTGATTGTCTATGGCGGGATTTATGGCTTAAGCTCTGCAGACCTTATGTTTATTGTATGCTTGCAACTGGAGAAAGGATGGTGGGTGCTCCAGTCTGGTTCTATTCAGGTGAATGGCATTGGCTTAAATGTCCTGAAAAGCAATTAAACTGGAAGAAAAAGTTTGAGAAGAAGGGAGCAGACAGTTGCTGGGGGAGGGGTTGAGACACCCTCTGAAATATAATAAATACTGGTGATGTTTATTTGCTTTGTAAGCACTCAAACTATATACGTCATTATACCAGCCAAACTTGAAAGAGTGTCTGCATCTATTTTCAGTGTTCCCACAGAGACTGTCTTAGAAGGATAGAAAAATATGCTTCAGCAAATAATTCTGAGATTATGCATATAATCGCATCCTTTGGAAAAAAAAAAGGTCAAAACTTGGTTCGGAGGATTTCAAAACGCCTATTCATGGTACAATACTTTTCTTAGGTCCTTTTTAGGGAAATTATCAGAGGTGATCTTATGATGAAGCACCGTTGTTGATCTCAAGTCAAGCTACGGCTCTCTCAGCCAACCCGCACAATCACTAAATCACTTGTCTGTAGTTTGTTTAGCATTAAGCAAGTTGTCAGGGCACAGATTATGCTTACCTAGAACTGATCAGAAAGGTAAACACGATTTGTTTCAGGTTTGTTTATTGCTACCTTCTCGGGCAATCCCTGATAGAAATGGTCTCAGCCCACATTCCAGGTTTACTCTACGTAGACTGCAGTCAGATGCTTGCCAGCCATGTCATTCAGGGGGAAAAAACCAGTAGTTACAAGTAAGTATATTCACATTAATCAAGATGTAGGGTTCAGCATAATTCTTCCTAACCTGGATACCTGTAAATATCTAGGAGGAGGTAAGAGGAACAGAGGCATCATCTACACAATGTCATCATTTTGCACATGACGTTATGGTGAGCACGCATGGGACACCAAGTGCGGGGAGCTCCATATAGGTGGACTTCTCCAAATCCTAACATTGATGATTGATGTCTGCAATTTTCCCCTCCACCAAGGCAGAAAAAATGAGCCCTCATTTTCCCCCACTCCTATCCACTACATGGATTGCAGTGGTGGGTTTCAAATTTTTTTACTACCGGTTCTGTGGGCGTGGCTTGGTGAGCGTGGCTTGGCTTGGCTTGGTGGGCATGGCTTGGTGGGCATGGCAGGGAAAGGATACTGTAAAATCCCCATTCCCTCCCCACTCCAGGGGAAGGTTATTGCAAAATCCCCATTCCCTCCTGATCAGCTGGGACTCGGGAGGCAGAGGTGGTATTTACCAGTTCTCCGAACTACTCAAAATTTCTGCTACCGGTTCTCCAGAACTGGTCAGAACCTGCTGAAACCCACCTCTGATGGATTGCCTATAGCACCTACTGCCTGGAGTTAGAATGCTGAAGCTGATGGTAGATGATAGTAAGTGAAGCATGCAATGAATAGGAGCTAACAGTCAGGGTGTGCAATCATTTGGCAGTAGAGCTACTTCTCAGTTACTCTGCCTTCCTAGGGGATCTGAGAAGGAAGGGCAGGACAATTAGAAGACATATGAACTCTGCCCTTTCAGACACCTTCAGATTAATAAAAGGGAGTGTAAAAGATGACTCCAAACACTCATATTCTTTCTTCTAGATCCCCCCCAGTGTGCCAGAGGTTATCAGGGGGCAATACAGTTAGTCCTCAACTTACAATAGTTCATTTAGTGACCATTCAAAGTTACAATGGCACTGAAAATGTGACTTATGAACATTTTTCACATTTGCTACTGTTGCAGCAGCCTCATGGTCTTGTGATCAAAATTCAGACACTTGGCAACTGACTCATATTTATGACAGTTGCAGTGTCCCGAGGTCATGTGATCACCTTCTGTGAACGTCTGACAAGCAAAGTGAGTGGGGAAGCCAGATTCACTTAAAAACTGTGTTACTAACTTAACAATTGCAGTGATTCACTTAACAACTGTGGCCAGAAAGGTCATAAAATAGGCAAAATTTACTTAACAACTATCTTGCTTAGCAAGAGAAATTTTGGGCTCAATTGTGGTTGTAAGTTGAGGACTACCTATAGTAGCTGAAGCAAGAGCACCAATAGTCCCCAACACATCTGGTCAATGCTCCTGTCAATAGGAAGCATACCATTGGGATGGGACAGAAAACTTCAGAGACATGATGAAGTGATATTCTTTCATACAGATGCTGAAAGAAGTAAACTTACTGTCAAATATAGGTCACATGAAGATATGAGATGGGATAATAAACATGACTTCAAAGATATTCAAGTTACTTGAAATAATGTTATTGTCTAGTTAGTATATGTCCTATAAGAAGTCAGAGGCGGTATCCTCTTCCTCAGAATCCACCATTACTTGCAGATGAAGAGGGGGAAGGACCAACTAACAGTGACTCCAGGTCCTGCTTCATCAACTTCATCTTTGCTGAAGCACCAGATATTGTACAATTAGCATCCTTGTGATCAGAAGTACATGAAAAACATTACTTCCACTTCTGATCAGATAAATCAAAAGTTAGCTGAGCTTGGCTATAGACCAGAGAGGAAAGCATAAATGACAAGCAAGGCATTTTTATCCAAAGATGGTGTAAGACAGGGATGTCAAACTCAAGGCTGTGAGGGCCTATTACATATAAAGAATTATTAAACATGAAAGAGGAATTAAAATCAAGGAAGAAGTTAAAGGAAGAAGGAACTGAATTAGAATGGTGTATATACCTACAAATACAATCCAAATTTATGAAGGATAAAAAAGAGCAGGATATAAAATTAGAATAATCAGAACTGGATAAAATTTTACTAAGCACAGAGGGAAAGGCCATAAAAAAACTGTACCACTATTTATTAGAAGAAGATATGCTCAAAGAACAAGTTAAGGAGACGATGATAACTTGGAGTATTTTTTTTATTTTTATTTATTTATTATTGAATTTCTATACCGCCCTACTCCCGAAGGACTCATAGATATACAAAATTTAAAATCGAATAAAATGAATTAAATAAATTTGGCTGAATTAATACCCATAATTTAAAATACCCATATTTTAAAATCCATTAAAAATTTAGAATTTACACTTAAAAGGGAGAAGATTTAGGCGAGGCCAGCTTGATGAAATAAAAGCGTCTTCAACTCGCGGCGGAAGGTGCGCAGATCCGGAATCCTCCGTATCTCTGGGGGGAGCTCATTCCAGATCGTCGGTGCCCCCACAGAGAAGGCTCTCCCCCTAGGGGCCGACAGCCGACATTGTTTGGCCGACGGCACCTGGAGGAGCCTCTCTCTGTGGGAGCGTACTGGTCGGTGGGAGGCTGTTGATGGTAGTAGGCGGTCCCGTAAGTAACCAGGTCCCAGTAGATGTTTTGGGTACAGTATCGATTTGGACAATTGGCAAAATCTGTGGGGGAAAAATATCAAAATCACACTGGCGGCTTCTTATAAAGAAAACCTGTATAAAATGTTTTACAGGTGGCACGTTCCACCCACAAGATTGGCAAGAATTAGTAAAAAATACTCCCCAATTTGTTGGAAATGTGAGGTGGAACTAGGGTTATATTACCAAATGTGGTGGGAGTGCTCAAAAGCCAAAAGTTTCTGGCAGCAAATAAGGAGCTGGTTAGAAGAGATGTTAATGTTTAAAATAGAAGTTCAGCCAGAATTTTTCTTACTGGGCATGACAGATGGCAAATATGACAAAAATATAACCTATTTAATATTGCATATACTTACCGCAGCAAGACTAGCATTTGCTCAAAAATGGAAGTGTAAAAAATTCCCTCAGAAGAAGAAGTAATGCACAAAATTTACAGCTGTGCAGAGATGGACAGACTTACTTTAGAACTCAAAGACAAAAGTGAATCAACATACTATGAAGTCTGGAATAAATTTTATAATTAGTTAGATAAGAGGAAGAATGCCAAAAACAAGGGATAACGAATGTCTGGAAATGTATATATCAATGTATTTTAATATATCAATGTATATTGAACTTGTGAATGTAATATTGGTTTATTAAATACATGCATAGTTGGTTAGGAAGTAAAATACTGTATACTTGATATATAATGAAGTAGGAGATATGTAAATTTGTATATAGAACAAGGAATAGATTACTTATTAACTTGATTTTGACATAAATGTTAGAAACCAGAGACGTTGAGCAATGTCCAGTGTTTCACTTTTAAAACTAATAAAATAATAATTAAAAAAAAACTTCAAGGCCTGCGGGCCAGATCCGGCCTACGGTATGCTTAGATCTGGCCCGTGGGGCTGACCTGGAAACAGCGGTCCATGGTGCCTCTGCCAGCAAAAAGGGAGCGCCATTTTCGCTGGCAGAGGGTTGCAGGAAGCCATCGCAGCTGAAAACGGAGCTCAGGAGCCCGTTTTCGCTGGCAGAGCAAGTGAAATTAATTCCCTTGATTTTGGAGACAGAGAATATTTTCCCCACCAATTCAAAACTATACCTTGATTTGAAATATCTGCATGACAATGGCTGAAAAAGAAGAGTAGCTGCAGATCAGGACACAGAAGATGCATAGTTAGCTCAGGATTTTGGCATCAGGTTAAACTAAGAAGGTGAACACAATTTAAAAGTGCATTCGAAGATTTATTTTTTAAAAAAACAGTTGAATGAGCAAGCTATTTCCTGCATTAATTTCCCAACTAATGTAATTATATAGCCACAAGCTTTGGCGCCTGATCAGTTAAAAGAACAGCCAGAAACAAAAAGCAAGGGGGGGAGGAGTCTGAGCATACCACATTAATGCCATATTAATCATCACATCTGATAGGAATAAA